TAATAGTTTTACGCAAAGAAAGACAAATATTATGAATCTAGAATAACTACAACATACAGAACCATTTTATATGAAGGAAGTATGTCTCCTTTGGTATTTGCTCTAACTTTTGTACAAATTCAACAGGGTTGATTTGTGGATACAAAGTGTTATATATAAACCACTAGTGTGAATTATCTCTACTTGTTCTGCAAGATTCAGATTAAGATAGAAATTTTAACACAAAATTACTTCCTTCTGTTTCCAGTGAATCTCTCTTAAATAGCATGTTTCCACTTAACAGTTATCTTAGCATCATGAACTTAGCAAAGTAAACAAGCAGAGAAGCCTTTTTTACCAACAAAAAATGGTTGAAGGTATTAAGTCCCTGATTCCAAAATTTATCAAATTGCTTTCAAAATCCTCACTCTCAGGCCTCCCTGGTGGTGCAAGAGGTTAAGCACCGCACTATGAAGCAATCTGCAATCTCTGCAGTACGAGTTCAATCTCCAGCCGGCCAGGGAGCAACCCACATGGCACGGCAGACCTCTCCTGTCTCACTGTCTGCTCCCTTCAGCAGTGTATTTCAGCCAGTCTGCCTGTTCTGCTCCCCACTCTGTCTCTGGTGAATCTTCTCACTCCCCGCATCTCTGGCCTGTACCCCAGCTCTTGCATGCATAAATAAATAAATCTTTAAAAAAAAATTCTCACTCTCTTTTACATTCCAGGCAAAATATTAGATTTGCATTAGCTTACAATTCTCATTAGATATCTATTTTAAAATGTACTAACAGTTACAGAAGTCCCTCACAAAATATCTTCTGTCAATCATCCTAGTCATATATCAGTGTGTACTTGATGAATTTCAGGGGCAGATTGTTTTTAATGGCATCTGTAAACTAGATTGCATGTATATTTCTACAACCTTCTACACACGCTAATGTGAACACTCTAAATTGAACACATTAAATGTGTCATCATAAATGGTACAATGGCTATCTTTAAGTGGCTATATTATTTAAAGATGGAGTATTATTATGTCTGTACCTTACTTTGAAACGATTCAGCAGAGAGAAAACAATGCACACACAAATAGACAAGCATATAGGCAGGGAGAGGCATAGGTAAATAGGGTTTATATTATAGATGATGTGTCTTTAAATATTCATTACACTGTTCTTTCAACTTGTTTTTTAATTGATGTAAAACTGGCTAACAACATTGTACGCGATTTAGAATTATAGGTTCAGACCTCTTCATATATGTGTTACCACACTCCATCCACCACTAAAACACCCCTTGTCTTCACCATAGACCACTGGGTGCCCCTTCTTTGTCCCTTACCACATGTCCCCTCCTTTCTGTATATTTGAAAAAAATGTTTCAACTTATTTTAAGAGGTGATTTTTATACATCATTGTTTTATCCTTAAAAGAAGATAAAATGTAGGTCTCCCTGGTCGCCCAAGGGGTTAAGCATCAGCACCATGAAGCAATCCGCAGCTACTACAGCAGGAGTTCAATCCCCGACCAGGGGGCTGACCTACATGGTGCAGCACACCTCTCCTACCTCGCCTGCTGCTCCTCTCAGGAGTGTATTTCAGTAGTTCTGCCTGTTCTGCTCCCCACTCTGTCTCTGATGAATCCTCTCACCCCCTGCACCTCTAGCCTACACCCCAGCTCTTGTATGCTTAAATAATCTTTTTTTAAAAAGAAGATAAAATGTTTTAATTTAAAAACATGACCTTTGAAAACATAAAGAGAATGAAGTCTTCATTTTTTCTAGAAATTACTTTTCATTATCTATTGTGTGTTCCACATTTTCAATTTTCTTCACATTAAATACTGATGTTTTCCATCTGAACCAGCTATGAATAGTTAATACTACTAATTAAACAAACTTAAGAAATGAAATACAAATCCAAGAAAATCAGTTTGCCTTCCTTCTACCCCCATACTTTCCTGTATTCTCCCCAGTATTCACTGTTACTAGACACTAGCTCCAGTCACCTAGCTTCTTGATAATAATCAGGGAGCAGGGCTTGTCACACTTAACACTTACTTCAAAGCCAGTGGGCACTCAAAATTTCTAAGAAATATTTTTTAAAATGTAGACCATAAAGCTAATAGGATATGTGTAGCATAGAAAATCATGAACTGTTTGGCTTTTAGTTATGTTTTAGTTTGGATTTTTTTGCTTTGTTTTTTGATTTAGTGTGGGATATGGGGGGATTTTAATTGACTTACAGAAACTTCAGGAAACCCCAAGGAGCAGAGACAAACTAAAAGATGATGTGCATTAAAATATTCACATCGTCTCTTCTCAGTCTCCAAAACACCAATATTGTGTAGGGATGTCATGCAAAAGTCAGTAAAGGCATCAGGGTATACACCACCTCCCTCTAAAATTCCTATATTCACTGGGGCAACTGATTATTAGAAGAAGATAACTGAATATTCCTATTTGTAATTGCTTTGGTTGGATAATAATGACTAAGTTTTCTAGGCATATTAATTTTTATTGAGGTAAGTAGCCATATTTTAGCTTCAATAATATACTATCAGGAAATGAGAGAAATAAGTTAATGAATATATTTTTCACCAAAATGTCACACCTGCATAAAATTAAAGCCTACTTAAAATTCTCTCTACTTTCATAATATGAAAATCCTTACAAAATGTATTCTATTAAAATCTCTAAATTTGGAAGACATCTGGCCTATCAAATTATTGAGGGTAGAGGTTTGTGGTTTGAAGTACACTGTTTGAGGTGGTGTATTTGAAAAGAATTCACCTATCATTCTCAGGCTTCATAGAGAACTAGCCCTGAAAACAAATGTATGTGGTAGTTCACTGCTACCATAGAGAATCAATAGCCATCTATTTAATTTGCTAAGACAATGTAAATTAGTAACTTCCAGCCAGATGTGTGATATACATATCAAACAAACTGCAACCTGTTCATTATCAAAATCCTGTCAACACACACACACAGAGCCACTTGATGACATTTCATTTAAGACAGTTTTCACATTTGCAGCTATAAAAATTGTCCCAAGAATTTTTATACACAGAATTGGAGCAAAGACTCATAAAAGGGTAATCAATTTCAGCTTTTCATCATATGTGCTTCTGTATGTTTATTTCCATTTCCATTCAGAGGCATAAAACATTCAGAAAAAAACATGAACCATGTTGGTTTCCCTTCTGTAAATCACTTATCCTCATTACATCTTTTTAAGCTGATATAGAGTTGGTATCCTAATCCTGCAGCTCTGAAGAAGTGTGTAAAATGGAGAAGGATAGTCAACAGAAGAAAGAAAGTACACTTATCCAATGGAAAACAAAACAGAATATTTCCAAATGATGACAACCATAAATTATGTTTACCCACTGGGAGGTCTTACTTGCATTCTGATCATTTATATGGGTCTGTGTGACTATATACCCTGCTGTTTGATAAAAAAAAAAAAAAAATGATTACTAACCACAGGCACCCACCAGAGAACAGAGTGTATGTATAATGCTCAGGATGTCTCAGACATACAAAGCACCTTCTTAAAGAATGTCCATTTCATTTTCATGGTAAGCAGACATAATTTTTCACTCTTTAATACTTCTGCTTCACAGAGTGGCTTATTTTAAGAATTATGCTTTGCCATCTTTTCTACTGTTTATTTTAATAACATGAAAAACTACATCCATAAAATAGATGGTTTTGTTTCATGATATCCAAAATACGAATATGTTTTCCACTCTGTATTAAAATCCACAGCATTCTTACTATTACAAAAAATTAGCAATATTTATTTTAACACTGTTAAATTTAAAAAAAAAAACTTCTTAATCACCAAATATTCTTGAATACTGAATCCTCATCTAAGCCATATTCATTCTCAAAGTCTATTGAATTAAATTTTCTTATTAAACAGGACATAAAGTAAATAGTTTTATTGCCAAGCATATTTCCAACTACTACATTTTTAATCTAGCAATTTAATAGAACGTGAACTGAATCTAGTCCCCATCATCTATAGTATAACCTGATTGCAACTAGCACCCCTTAACCAACTACCTTATGTCAAAATAGAATTTCTACTAAGTGCCTAGAGTGTCAGGGCTTCCAAAGTAAGTAACTCCCGAGGTCCCCTAAAATCACAAGCATTTCAAACTCTGCTAAAAATAAGTCAACTGCACGCACAAAAGGGTTCTTCTTAAAGGCTTCAATCCTAAGCAACTCCACTTGCCCAAACAGTACACAGAACGTGCTTTTCTTCACCAGCCTCACAGCAGGCCACGTGATCAGTCCGTAGGGCCACACAGGCAACCAGAAAGGATTATTATTTCTAGAAAGAACAAGGCTCACTTGCGGTCGCCCAGCCAACGCTGCCCGCAGGTGATACCGCGCTCCGGCTCCTCACCCAGGGACGTGGTCACCCACCGCGCGGGGTCTGGGCGCCCCCCAACACTTGGAGATTAGCTCGGGTCCTTTTGCTTTCTGGAGGTTAAAGTCAGACCCTCCTGGTCACTTAACTCCCCCCCTCCTTTGTGGTTCAGGGAAAGAATCACTCTCAGAACTCTAACTTTGATTGGAGACTCTGGTTAAAATTAAGAACTTCAAACCCCGATCTGAAAAAGTGAAACAGATGTCCTGTTTGTTAACCATAAATGGCTCCGTACGTCGGACCCTTTCCTCTCTCTTTTTTTTCTTTCTGGCGCATTAAGTTTTATTTAATGCAGAGTTCGCTTAAAAGGTTAAAAGAGAGAAAATAGAAAGCAAATATGGACTGTGGATGGAAAAACTCCTAAATCTTTCTCTAGAATATAACGAAGGAAGCCTCTTCGTAAAGATGAAAGTGCTCGAGCTGCGCCTCCCAGCGCAGCCAGCACAGGGGGAAGGGGAGCCAACCCGCGTCCCCAGTGGACCCCAGACTCGCCTAACCGGGCCGTGCCCACCACCTGCAGCCCTGTAAACACCGGTGTCGCCTGGAGTGGGCGAAGAGGTCGCAGCCTCGCACTCACGTGAGCACATAGTTGACGCTGACGATGCAGTGTGGCCTGGAGGAGCGGCTGTTGTGCACGATGGTCGCATAGCTCTGCACCCACACCCAGCCGCCGTGCTTCGCCAGGAACCTGTAGTACTTGGTGGTCACCTGCCCCTTCACCAGCACTGAGGGAGAGACAGAAAGCAGCTAGTGGGGAACGATTCTGCTGCGGATCCGCCCCAAATACAACCCCCGAGGGTGGAAATGCGGGTTCCCCGCGGGCCCTAACAGCTGCGCGAAGGCTGGAGAGCGAGCAGACCTGCCCGTTCCCCAACGCATTGATTGTTCTGTTAATTTGCATTGAGTCCTTACTTCCCTCCATTAGCGAGAAGGGGAGGGGGCGCTTAAACTTGGGGTAGTCCATTTCCCATTCCTTTTTAGAACCAAGGAAGGTAAGGTCTGGGCGGCTGAATTCCAAAGCTATGTTCCCTACCTGGGGAGAAAAAACCTCAGAGCAAAGCTATATCGAAAGCCCGAGCAAGTCAAGGCACAGAACCAAATGGGCCTGACTTGGTTTTTGTTCCCATTTTCAGCGAGGTTTGGACAAGGGAAACATATCAATAGGAGAATAAGACGTCTGCCGGGGGTACTTTGCCCAGAAATTCCACCTCCGCCCGCGTGAGCGCCTGCGAATGTTAGAGAAACAAGGTGTGCCGCCCAGAGTTGTAGCAGCCAGCAGCAGCAGCAGCTGCTGCAGCAAGCAGGACCTCACGCCCAGTCACCACGCAAATCACACCCTCAAAACACACCATCAAATCACACCCTTCCCCTTCCCCCCACCCCACGCGGTCGGGGTGCGAGGCCCAGCAGCGCCTTACGCAGGTGGTGGGCGCAGCGCAGATGGAAGGTGTCGCAGCCGTGCACGTGGTGGTACAAGGTCTTCTCGATCAGGTCCTGAGGCTCATACCCCGTCAGCTCCGCCACTCTGCAGAGAGAAATCCCCACGGGATGAGCGTGAGGTTCGCCCCATTCCAGACAACCATCTCAGACCTGGGTTCCCACCCTTGCTTAGCAGGACCCATCAGTAGCCTTATCTGCAAAATGGGCCCAGGAGGTTGAGGAGGAGCTCTGAATCACTGAGCAGGACCGCCCTCCCTTATAGGTAACCCTCTCTTGCCCTGGCCACCCACCTGGAGTCCAGGAAGATGAGCTTCATGTCGAGGCTGGCACGGAACATGAACATGTTGCTGTGCAGTTTGATCTCTGTGACTGCGCTGGGAGGCAGCGAATGGCCCACTGCCACCAGGCCCACATTCTGGTAGCAGCCGTCAAAGGGGGACATATCCAGACTGTACTGGCGAATCTTTAGGTAACCGCTACAGTGAATGACCTATGGAGGAAGGGCAAGGAGGGAGAAAACATCAAAAAGGTAGGAAGGGGATTGAAACATTTTGAAACTCTTCTTCCACAAACACCATGTGGGCCAGGCTCCTGCACTGAGGTGTCCAAAGTTACTGGCCCTCCAAGGTTTCTCAAGGGAAAGTCTGTACTGCTACACTGAGCTCAGAGGGATAAGAGGGGAGCGTAAAAATTTCAGAGGCTGGGCCTCCCTGGTGGCGCAGGGGTTAAAGTCAGCGTTAATCAAGCCATCACCAGCCACTACAGCATGAGTTCCATACCCAGCCAGGGAGCTAACCCACTTGGTGCAGCAGACCTTTCCTGTCTCACCCACTGCTCCCCTCAGCAGTGTATTTCAGTGGGCCAGTCTGTTCTGCTCCCCACTCTGTTTCTCTGGTGAATCCTCTCACTCCCGGCATCTCTGGCCTGTACCCCAGTTCTTGTATGCATAAATAAATAAAAATAAATCTTTAAAAAACATTTCAGAGGCTTAGATCCTACCAATCCTATAGTATCCAAATCGCATAGGGCCCTGGGATCTGCATTCCACTCATGTTTAATCTCAAATAAGAAAAGCATTCCAGCTAAAGCTTAAGTTCTTAATGGGGGTTGGGGGGAGGGAGAAGGGGCAGAGGGTCTTACAAAGTCAGAATCTGACTTTATAACTAAACTCGATGAATCCATTCAAAACACTGATTATTTCAGATGCTTAACACTTTACTAAGGCCCAGCTATGTACTCAGGTGGGGTGGGCAGCATCCAGAAGCAGAAATGGTGTCTTTAAATGAGTTCCAGGTGTTCAGAGGCCTCGTGGTTCCTCCAAGTCTGAGGGGCTTTGACATGTGCAGGGGCTGTCTGAGCCCCAGGAAGATGCCTCCCATACCTCCAGTGCCTGGTGTCCTGCCTCCTTCTTGTAAACCTCACTAACTGGCTGCTGGTGGCAGGAACATTGATCCTGGGTCAACCACTCACTCACCTTGTAGCCACCACAGGTGAGGCCCGCGTTCCTCTTGGCTAACACACACTTCATTCTCAGGAAGAAGGAACGCTCAATCTCGTACTCTGGGAGAGAGGAGCAGAAGGAGGCACAGGACATGAGGGTAACTGGGGAAAAGCCACAAGCAGATGCGAAGTGCACCCCAGGGTCGCAGCCCACTGCCTTACCCTGGACAAAGTGAGAGTGGTAGGGCTGGTGGGCTGTGAGGACTGCGGTCATCTCATCGTGGTCGGCGGGGTGGATGTATTCGTAAATGCTGTTCCCGGTCAGTTCTACCTGTAAAGAGGAGGATATGGCCATCTCCGAAGTGGTGGGCTGCACTGTGGAGAGGCTACAAGGTTGGGTAGGGGATCTATAGGACTGTGAAGACAGGAATCAAAACTCAAGCGCCCACCCAGAGTTCTAATTCCAGTTTGCTGCCTGCTAACTATTGCAGCTTATCTAAGCCTCAGTTTCTTTATCTATGAAAGGAAGTGGCAGTAGTTGCAGCAGTAGCAACAGCTCCTGGCCATGTTCTGCTGAAGATATGGTGACAGCTCCCATAACCCTCTCCCATGGTGCTTGACTTATGGTAGAGACGCGAAAAAGGAAGCCACTGTTTGGGTCTGAGGCAGAAGCTAAAGGGTAAGCGAAGTAGAAGACGGAGATCCTGACCTCCTAGCAGCTGAGATATTTCCAGGTCCACAAATGCACATACAAAAGCTTTGAGGAAACTGTCCCCTACTGCTACCTCCTGCCTCTGGCTCTAGCTATAAACTTTGAAGGCTGGAGGTGTGGGCCACTCACCTACCTGAGAAAGACCCAGGTGGACTGAAGCTGTCTCAGAGATGTACATGATCTTTCCATCTGGGGCCACCACGAAAATGAAGCCATCCAGGGTCTGGGAAAATAGAAAGAGAGTTGGGGAGCCCACTGGGTCAATGGAGAAATTAGGTTGTTGGGGGAGATGGGGAGATCGAAGTTAGAATGTTCATCTTGAAGTTCAAATAGATGCTGTAGAGACAGGATAGAAGAAAACAGGACATAGAAACCAGCCACAAGAGTCCTATCTTTTGTTCATTCCAAATTCATAAGTATATAAGACATGGACTGGAAGAGATCCAGAAAAAGTGTGAATGAGGCTACTGCCCTTTCAACACAAAATCCACTGACATGGAGAGAGAAAGCAGATACACACACACACACACACACACACACACACACACACACACACACACCAGGGGAGCAGGAGAGTCACAGCCTTTGACTGAAGTAGGTTAGGTTGCCAGGATGATGGTCACTGAAAGAAACCTAAGTTTCCTATGTCAGGCTTGGAGGAGTCCATCGTGGTAATGTACTAATAATGGAAAGAGTATTGGCCAGTTTTAAAAAATAGTAGGCACTGGATGATGAAGAAGGACTGGCAATCTGAGTAGTTTGTACACTGAAGGGAACTGGCCAGTGGATCTGCAGAGTCCAGGAGAGGGAGATTTAGGAAATGAGAGGCTTTTCAGGCAGCAAGTCTACAGAGCAGTGCTATCTCATGTGTGTGTGTGTGTGTGTGTGTGTGTGTGTGTGTGTGTTTACATTGTTGCATTAAACTGACAGGCTCTCCATAGAGGAAAGTTGTGGAAGTTCACTGTTCCTTTATCTCTGTGAATGAGGCTTCAGTCCAGGCTGTGGAGACAGAAAGATGAGTCCAATCCTGCTTTCAAGTTGCTGGAAACCCAACAGGGGCAAGTGGACTGAAGACAGACATGACTACACAGCTCACTAGACAATGAGTGCTGTGGGAGTCTAGAGACTAAGGAGTCAGAGGTTTGGGGGAGAATCAAAGAGGCCTTAGAGGAGTTGTTTGAGCAGTAACTTGAAGAAAAAGTTTGAACTGGAGAAGAGAAGAAGGCATCCTAGGCAGTAACAAAGATAGGGGCTGAGAGGAGTGATTTTCTGTTGTTTTCAGGTGTGATGAATTTGGTATTCCAGAAATGGATTTGAGGAAGTACACTGGTACAGGTTTTCTGGAGAGTTTGACATGTCAACCTGAGGAATTTGGAGTTGTTTCTATAGGCATCAGCGTTCCAGCAGGGGATTCTAAGCAGGGAATAGCATGCTTCGATGTGTTTTTCCTGGCAGAATGTGAACAGTGACTTATAGGAGGAAAGAGTGGGGGCAAGAAAAGATCAGAGATGATCAAATATGAATTTACGTGATTACAAGGGGAATTGGGAGGAGGTGAGTTTAATTCAAAGATGCTTCTGACTATAGAATTTAATGTAGGGTGGCAGAAAGAGAAGTTGAAACTGATTTCAAGCTTTCAGTATGGCAATGAGTTGCGGGTAACACCATACCCCCCAAGATTTAAAAATTAGGAAAGCATAATGAGATTTTTGGTTTTTTTTAATGAGTGGAAATCTGGAAGAGGGAGATTATGAATTCTTGTATTAGTGATACTAAACTTGAGGACATGTAGATTTTCTTTGAATGTGTGCAGTTGGCAATAGGAAATAATAGTTTGAAGCTCAGGGGAGGTATCTAGACTGGGAAAAATAGCTGGAGTACTGTAAATGTGGGAAGAGGGGTTGAAGCAATGGTTTTGTCACTGGAGGTGATCACCTGAGATCAGCTGGATGTCCTGAAGCTGTGAGAGAAGAAACAGAACTGGAACCTTGGGGAAAATGCCAGCATTTACAACCAGCGAGAGGTGGGAAAACTAGAGGAACAAGCCAAGAGGGAGAAAAATTTAGAGAATTGTGCTACTTTTGAAACCAAGAAAGACTGTAAGTATGGAATGCCACCTCTTTCAGGTCTTTGCCCAAATATCTCCTGATTGAGGTCCTTTGTGCTGGTGCCCATGTGAAATGGCACCACTAACACAGCCCTCCTCCCTCCCTCCCCCCCTTTTTTTTTTAGTTCTGTAGCACCTATTTCACCTTTTAATCTATGAAGTGCACCTGTGTTAGTTTGCAACATTGGATTACTTAGAATGGAAACTCTGTAAGGGTAGGGCTTTCTACCTAGCACACATTTGACCCTGCCATAATTGTGGACCGCAAAAGGTCAGGTAGAATACGAGATGAGTATCTATGCTGAGTATCAGAATGTAGCGGAGCTTGTATGGAGTACAATGATGTACAATGATGAGAGAAATGGCAGGCTGCACAGTGTCAGAGTATCCAGACAAGGTGATCAATGAAATTGAGAGTGTAATTAAACCCTTTGAGAAGTTTGGGATAAAGAAGAGGAAGAAATTGGGCAAGAGCTAGAATGGATAAGAGATTATTTGGGTTTTGTTTTGTGGTTTGTATAGATGAGGAAAATCACTTAGGAAGATTGAAAGATGGGGTTGGGGAATGGGGGTGGGGAGTCAGTTATTGAAAGATAATTGAGAAAGACACAGCACCTTTCTAATTAAATTGAGAGGTGTGGAGGCCAGGCCTGTAAGGGAATGCTCAAGGGAGGACTTTCTTTGCTCTATGAAAATAAAATCTCTTTTATTAGAATGGAGTCAGGGGCAGGGGAGTGGTGGGACTGGAAAGAACAACTCACTCCTGCCATGAGCTGCTGCTCATTCCCTGCCAAGAAGGGAGAACTGGCCCAGAATCCCCCACCTGCTGAGGGTCTGAGGCTTCTGCATGAGCAGCTGGAGGTAGACTTTAATAAGGAGGAGAAGGGAGTGCAGGGTGGAAGACAAGTGTCAAGTCTAAAATGCCATCCTGAGTTTTATTATTTTAAAGACTTGCTAGTCGACTTTAGCAGGCAATGGGTAATTTAAAATGGGACACAATGCAAACAACAAGGTAATGGACACCTCCACATTGGTTAAACTCATCTGGGGAGTTGTAAATGTGTACCCAAGAGTGTGTACATGGCTTGGCCTGGCCTGGGGCAAGCAAGGGTGGAGAGAGGAGAAACCCAGGAACCACAGGAAGGAGATGAAACGAGTTGCAGACGCAGCAGGATCTGGAATGTATGGGCTTAAAGCATTGACAGCATTTCTACCAGATTCCCGTTATTTCCTGTGCAAATCCTTCATTTCGGAGATTTTGCAGCCCGGGTTGTGCAGGTTGGTCCGGAGAGCCCAGGTTCCCTGGTCGATTGATGTCAAATGACGCACCCAGCCAGGTTCATCAGCCATCCGAATTGGGGCGTTTTCAGCCCAATATGTGAGTGTTTACCTTGCCCCTCTCTCTCCCGCGAGAGGTGCAATCACGCACCTAGTGAGGTTAAAAGCTACACGTTTAAACTTTAAAGCTACACGTTTAAAGTTTGGAGAGAACCACATCCAGACCGGATTCTATTTTTCTGGGAACCCACAAGACCTGCGCCTGACCCAGACACCCAGGCGCTGGGAGCTTGTACGCCGCGATGACACCCGCGCACTTACCTGGAGCAGATGCGAGCCCAGTTCTCTACCAACGTTGTCCAGCGGACTGGTCCGACTAGAGTGGCCCCACGCCTCGCCCAGCCCTGTGAACACACGGAGGGACCCTTTAGTGATGGGTCCTATCCCAGTGAACAGTTTGATAGTAGTTTCGCGGTTATGTCACACTGCAAGTTCGCACACAGGACCGGATCCCATCTCTGCTAGCCACCCACTCACACCTGGACGCCTGGGAGCTGGTTAATTCCAGCCCAGATTCTCAGCTACTGCAGAGGTTAGACTCCCTCGCCATTCTGCTCAGGCTTTCTCCAGGTCTTGGCTGCCCCTGGCTGGACCCCAAGTGGCCGGGTTTGGGGGTCGCTTGTGCTCTGAAGGGGATCCTGGACACCACACCCGAGGGGTGACTTTTGTATAGGTTCACCAGAGTGCTTGGGGGTGGGGAGGGAAGGGGGAGAAGGGTGAGGGACACTTTCTCACCCAAAGTTTTCACAAGCACCCTTATTTGAGGCGGTGGGTTTCCAACCATCCCAGAAATGGCTGCCCCCCTAGAGTGGCCTGAGGTGGTGGGTCAGATCCCATCGGTCCCTGGAGGGCTTTCTGATGGGCTGCGCGGCTCTCCAGCCATTTTCCTCTCCTCTGCCTCAGATTTTAACCTCTTTCAGAAAAATCCGTTTGCAACAGCCCCTTGCAGTCCTACCTCTGCCTTTCCCCCCTCTAGTCCCTGCCTTACACATCCTAAATTCACGTCCTCCCTACCCCACACAAGCTTTTAAAAACTCGGTTACTTTCAGGTGCTAATGCGTCTTAACTAGTTTTGTTCCCTTCTGAGCAGAAAGAATCTTTCTCTTCTCTACTTTTCAGGTATCCTGTATTAGCAAAGACAAACCTTTCCTCTCCTTGATGTTATCTCCGTAAGATTTTTTCCAGACTTTGCCACAAGTCATTTCTACGGTGATGCAAAAGCAAAGCAAAGCAAAGCAAAAAAACAAAAAGACCTTTTTTTGGCTGATTTTTAAGAATTTAATATGGAGTCTGCTTTAATACCTGTTTGTACAAAGAAAATGAAAAAGAAGGCAGAAAAATCTTGCTCGGCCAAGGGAAAACCTATTTATGAGTAATACATTTTAACAGTATTGCTGCTGAAATTATTTTTAACTAGGTATTTACTCACTTTTATGCTTACACCATTAAGCAAGCTTTAACATCACCCCCAAAAAGGTGTTTTACCGATTGCTTCGTTATGGAGCAAATCACTATAAGTACACAATGACAAACACGCTCGCATTGTGCGGCGAGCATGGGGGCGGATCTTTTCGAATAAAACATGGAGTTGGACTCTTAAAATATGTTGGCCAGGAACTGCTTCCTAAGCAAGCGATCAAAATCCTGGTAACGAGTAACCGTGAGCGCCCCTTAAGCTCAAATGGGGTCTTTCCGGGTGTTTGCACATCTAAATAAATCTAACGATTTCCCCACTGCTCTGCAAACACTGACGCTCCCCGCCCGCACCCGGACTCCTGTCCCTCCCAAGCGTCCAGGCAACCCTTCCTGCCTCCGCAGCCTGTTGCAGTTTGCCTCCCCAGAGTGGCTCCTGCCCTTATCTCTGTGTCATCCTGGACCGTTCTGGAGGGCTGCCGGCACTGTAACCCGCACACACCCCTCCTTCTTGTCACCTTCTCTTTGCTCCTCCACTCCAGCCAAGCAACCCTCTTCGCTTTCTGGGACTGGCGAATTCCGCTTTTCATCCCCGTGTGCACGTACCCAACCAGAAGTGGCGGGAGGGGTTACCTTGAGGAGGCCGGTGGAGGGGGGTTGGGGGGGTGGAGAGGATGTGAAAAGCTCCTGAGGGTGGAGCCGACCAGAGGACGCCGGTGGGTCTAAGATGAAAACACAATGCTTCGCAGGGTGCTGGTGACCCCGCGCCCCGGCTCGCCGGGAGCTGCCCGAGGCCGTGATGTGTCTGAAATCAGTGTTCCCCAGCACCCCCATGGGTGCAATGTCTGTGCTTAGGGCCAACAAATGCCTTTATTCTAAAATTACACAGGCTTCCCAAAGCGGCTGGAAGGCTAGCGGGAGCGGCCTTCTGACCCGAAGCCTCTGAAAATCCCCGGAGCTGGGCTCCGGGTTAAGTGCGGGTTCCGAACCCGCGATGCCAACCGCGGCTATTTGTGGTCTCGGGTTGCGGCCTCATTAGTATGCGCCTGCGAGGGAAAAATAAGACTTTCCTGCAGGTTAATAAATAGCCCGTCCTGTTGCAGGTTAACAGGGGCCTCCCTCACCCTCTTCTGCTCCTCCCCTCCACCTTTTAAGGAACCTTTTGCTTTCACGGAGCATTGCCTTCCCTTTAAGTTCCCGGTCGAACTCTCCGCCACAAGATTATGTCTAGGTTAATGTTTCATTAGGGACTGGCTATCCTCAGGTACCTGCCGGGCTTACCTGACCTAATGCAAGGGCTAAACTCGCCCTTCAGCAGGCCGAGGACACCTCCCGAAGCTTCAGCCCTGGATTGTGACTCCCGAAAACCCCGGACCAGAGACCCCTCTCTTCGGACCCCCTCACCTCCTGCCTGCGGTGACGCGCTCCCGCACCCAGTTTCAGTTGGCGAGGGGGGTAAGCTGAGATTTCGTTTCTGCACTTGACCTACCGCAGAAAATTCTCAAATCCTTTGATTGTTGCTTAAAATGAGGAGGAAACCAGCTCCCTTTGCAGAAGGATTACAGTGGGAACAAGATCTAAAGATTCTCTTGTAATTCGGTGAGGCCAAGGGAACAAGGTTTTGCAAAAGAGAAAGGAGCTCTGTGAGGGAGGCGATAACTAAATCGGGTTTTAGACAAAAGGATTTTCCCTAGCTAAAGTGGTTGAAGACAAAGGAAAACATAATCTATTTTGGAAGATTTCCAAGATATGCCACATTAACCTTAGCAGATAAATGTTGCGTCTTCCCACCCTCCCTCTTCCCTTAAAGTCTGGTTTATCATATTTACATAAGTAGTATTAGAAGGGATGTATCTATTATGGATCTAAAGGGCTAGCTCACATTTCATGTGAAAACCCGGGAGAAGTTTCACTGTTGCTTTACCCTCAGTGCGGTTGAGCCATTTCCATTTAAATACCCCCTGACCCAAGGATTACCTCAATGGACTGACTGCATGGGTTTTGTAATTTCCTGAAAATGAGATTTCGATTTATAAAACAAGAAACCAATTAGTAACCAAATGAGGCGAAGTAGATCCACTAAAATTGACCTAATCCCACAGGCACAATTTAGGCCCGTTCTTGGCGAATGAATGATGAGCCCCAGTCTAGTGTGAGCTCAAAGCATCATCCAGCTGTGTTATTGCAAGCAGCAAAAATAAATTGATCGAGCTTTTCCTTCAGAATGAATTTCATACCCTTGACAAAATACAGATTACAGACCCAGCATCATGGCCTCCCTCACTCAGACAGGGAGAGAAAGATAGGAGCTTGTTTTGTTGTTCTGTTATTATAATTACTATTTAATAAATAAAGAGTATTTCAAGAGAAATGTGTTCTAGTAGTCGGTCCAGGGAACTTGCATCTCTCCAATGGATCGCCATCTGCCTTTTAGGGAATGCAGGGCTGGGGGAGGCTGAGACAGCTCTCCCAGGGCCTGAACACAACTTGGTGAGTGAGGCAGGAAAAGCTTTCTGAGACTGTGCCCTAAATTAGGGTCCAGGAGGGACTGGTCCCACCTGGGTTTTCTGCTGAGCTTGCAGTTTCTGGCTGCGTGCATAGTCCAAAGCCCTTCCCAGTCTAGCAACAAAGTGACCTTCATTTAAGGACTCCAGGAGCCCCCACGGTTGGGTTCTCTGGGGAACAGAGATGGGAGGATTGGGCGATCTTGCCAAGAAAGAGCGTCACTGGGTAGGAGGTTGCTTCAGGCACCCAAACATCCGCCTCCACGGGTTGGGTCCCGCCCTTGCTCGAGACCCTCTCCCTATCAGTCAGGTGTGGTCGCCCTCCCAAGGGCATCGGTAGTGGCATGGAGCCAGTTTTATCCCATACAGCTGTTTGGACTCTACAGTGTGTGCCTGTGGGCCACAGTGGCAATGTGTACCCTGCCCTCCCCTGCATGCCCCGGTGACCCTCCCATCCCCCCGGCCATTCCTGAGAATCCACTAAGGTTAGTGCAAATCTGGGGTGGAGAAGGATAGTCGGATAGTCACAGTGCTGACTCTCTCCAAGCCCTGCGCACCGGCTTTCAAGCCAGGGCTTTGGGGTCGGGCCCAACCTCCTGGCCAAGCTGGGTATAGGCACCTAGGCCTGCCACCAGAGAAAGACCTGCAGGAGAGGGAAACAGGAGAGGTGCGTTCAGGTGCCAGCTAAACCGTGGGGCAAAAATGAAGGCTGGGTTCCAAAAAGTGCCGTTCATGGCAACTGGAGCTCATCAGCAGTGTCGTCCCAGGACTCCTGACCTTACACTGCGGCCAGGCCGTGGCGATGCCGCCACCCGCAATGCAGGCCAGGGCACCTACGACGGGGCTGCCCCAGCGGGCAGGCAGATTCAGCTTCAGTTCTCCTTGGCGATAGGGCCCAGCGACCGCACCCAGCCCGCCCTACTGGGAGCCACCCGCTCAGGTGCGATCTCGGCTTAAGGTTTAGAATACAGCACCTTTTGGGGGCAGTGAAGGGCAGCGCGGCGGGCCCACACCGACACCCGTCTGTTCACGCGGGTGAACCCTGCAGGGGCAGAGACCTGCTTGGGCACAGAGCGTGCGGAGACACCATGCGGAGGCCTCCAGCTGGTGCACCCGGGGCTGCGGCCCCCGGAGCGGAGGCGTGTGGGGTCCTGGGCGGCCGCGGTAGGAAACGGATCTGGGGGACCCAGCGGACCTGGCCGACTTCTTGGTACATCTCTCCGCAGAGTGCTTCGGCTGTTATGCAGGAGCGTCGACAGGGTCTCTGGACCGGGTCTAATCAGAGCCACGGAGGTCGAGCGACTCCGCACAAGAACCGCCCGCGGGATGAGGCTACCACGGGAAGGCGTCTCCGCAATTCGCAGACACCGTTTTAACATTATCAGATGAACAGGCCCATGGCTAAATAACTGGCCCGACTCCCCCACCCCCCATAAAATTCCACTCATCAGAAACTGGCTATGGTTAGACCGTCAAAATGTCAAAACCATCAGGTGTGAGCTGGGGCCAAATCTCATTTTCTTGAGAAATGCCCGACTAACTCATCGAGAAATTCAGCAAGAATGCACGGTTCGCATTCTGCTATAAATTTCTATCTGTAAAACCTCGAAGCTGCCAAGATTTCATTGAAAAACAATTCCTCTAGAAATCAGGTTTCCTCTGAAAATGTATCCCAATTTTAGTTTAAAGTGAGCGATTGTACCCGGCTTTACAAGCGTAGCCTATGATGCCCTGTTTCGTGTTGTTGTTTTTGTTGTTGTTTCTATTAGTGATCCCTCCTTTTAAAGAAAAAAGTAAACTTTTCATTGATCTGATCCACAATTTCTAGCACATAAATCTGCCTTGCAAATGCTCTGCATGGAGTTTAGTTCTGCACTTCACATTTTAAATCAACATCAAAACTGGAATTAAACAGAGGAAAACACCATGGAGCGTAAACTGCTCTTAAAGGCTTTTAAATGAGAAAAACTTCTGTAAGAAAATAAACATGGAAACCCAATGCTCAATCATTTCCCCCAGCAGCAAGAAAAACAGCCTTAAATCACCCATCCACGTGGGAAATGGGGGGCACTTTTTCCCTCTCAGTTCTCAGCCTCAAAAAAATATAAGGTGATTAAGGATTTCAATCTTGAAATGAATATTGTAGAGAGGGTCTGTGGAGGTTTGTTTAATCATCCTTGTTATTCTAGCCTTGCAGAGACTCTCTTTTTTGTAAAGTTGCTAATTTCAACTCTGTGATTATTTTTATTTCTCCAACATATCTTGACAATGAAATGGTAGTGCGATATTACCAAGATTCTGAATGGCATAGATTTGAAAACATGTCTGATATTTTCAGAAGTTATTCTGCAAGCTAGCACACCGCCCCACCAAAAGTGTACTATATCTGGATAACAAATATGTATTTCTTCTTAGTAGTTTGCTTTGGTCTATTTTGCACACAAATAAAACTATGCCATCTTTTTTTTATTCTGCCTTTCTGGCTTTGATAACAGCAAAAATACATTTATACATGCCTTTGTTTTTTTCCTTTGCAAGGCTATTTTAGAATAGAATGCTACCAAGTGAAAGATAGGCAGTTTTAATGATTCCATAGTAACTACCATGAGTTTTCTTTATTATTAAACCTCTAATCTAATGCTTTATTCTCAATTAGTCCAGGCACCCATATTCCATTCCTGTTTGTGTTCTCTCTCTCTCTCTCTCCCTGGAACAGCTCAATTTCATCTGCTAAGATAAATACAAGCTGCAGTTTTCCTGGTGCACAACATTGTATGGAACAGTTGGTGGGGGGGAAGGGTTGAGTTATAGTTTAAGTACTTAAAAAATTAATATAAATATGGAAGACTTTTTGTTGATGTAACCTTTTGGGCATTATACAGTACTACTGGTAAAATGCACTATGACCCAAAACAGTGGGGTTTTAAAGTCATTGTTAAAGTCATTGTTTGAAGTCACTGTTATGAAGTCAAAATCATGTGTTTCATGTAATAGAATGCTTACCATGATGAACTAGTTCTCTTTATCTCATCCTTAAAACACAATTTTATTGATCTACTAACCACTAGGGTGGCTTCAAGATACATATATTAAAATGAATTTCATCTTCAAACAAATTCTTTTCACTTCTCATCACTAAAAAAGATGCCCCCTTTTAGAAAGTGTTCAGTGTTCCCACTGTCATGGGCCCCAATCTTGTCCATTGGCTTTCCTTAAGAATTGAACCCAAATTTGGCACCCTCTTCAGGTTGTGCCTGGTTCTGCTACTTGTGATAATATTTCATTGAAAGCTGTTGTTTTTTGTTTGTTTATTTGTTTTGCTTTCTTTAATATTTTAAAGGACTGTGCTTGCATTTTTTAAAGCTAACCCACCCTCAAAATTAAAACCTCATCCCTATGAACCAGATGTCCTGATGACCCTGTCTAACTCACCAGGTGGAGGCTGTGGGTGAGTTATGAGTGCAACAGTAGCTAGAGAAATAAATGATGTGCCCAAGAGTTCACACATCGTCCATCCCCTCTTCCCAATAAACTCACACTCACCGACTGAAGAAGGGAGAGGAGGGAGGGGCTCGGCCGGGGGCTCGGGAGGAAGGTGAGGGGGGTTGTAGGAGTCACAGTCGCAGTTAAAGCAGGAGAAGGGGACCGCCTGGCCACCAAGGGGACTCCAGCGTTAAGTCTTCACCAGCGCTCTCTTTAAAAATAACAATTTGCCTAAGAGCGGTTATTATTTGTTACACCTCTTTATTTACCACGAGATTTATAATTTGGGCGTTAACGCTTAAACAAGAAAGCTCGCTCTCTTGAAAACAAAAACAAAGCATAAAAAAACAGCCGGATCCCTTCCAGGGCGCCTGCCCGGGGTCTGCACCGTAGACAGCGGCCCCGGCCCAGCGACTCCCTGGGCGCTCCTGTCCCTCTCTGCGTCCGCCCCGGAACGCAGACCCGCTATTCTTTTCCTCCCGCGATTACTCAAAGCCCCACAAGCAGCACCATATGCTTCTTCTGATCAAACAGCGAGCGACATCGGCACCGATAATTGACGAGACCGGCTAGAAATCACGCAGAAAGGGAGCCCACTGAGACCGCAGGGGCTGACAAATCACTGCTAATAATCCTGTTAGGAACAGCGCGGCCAGCGGAGTTCGCAATAGCTTTATTTTTATAAAGTAGGCGCTGACAGTATAAAAGACAATGAGATCTCTTTTTTAAACAGAAGGCAGTGTAGCATAATAGCATTTCCGCCACCAGCAATTCACACCACAGTCTGAATGGGGATAATGGTTTTAATATATGTTTCCCCTCCATTTTTTCGTTTTAACTTTTCAGGTACTTGAGGCTTTGATTCCTCTCTCCTGTGGTTTCCAGGGTAGATGAGATTGTTCAAGGAACTGCTTTAAGACAAAATGACTATAATAGCACCAGTAGTGTTGGGGTAAATTTGTACTATAATTTGAAAGTTTTCTTGAGGGTCCTGGACTAACTTGGGGAATGTTTTCCAAACTTTTGATTCAGAAACTTTTAGTTAAGGCAAAACAAAGTGAAACTCCAACCCCAGTACTGACTATCCCCTTCCCCATTTTCTTAAAGAAACAACAAACTCCAAACATTCAAAAATCAAAGGAGCAACAAAAATCCCTATGGGTCAAATACAAAGTTCTGGTTTATAAATAACAGGATTCTTTCGGACTTTTTCTTTGTTTAACATTCTTTCCTATACATATCCAAAACCTGCTACCACAGCAAAAACATATCTATTTTTTTTTTTAAATCTGTTCATGTTATTGAATGTGGGTAAAGAAAAGGCAGGAAAAATGGAACAGAGAAGTTTCCTTTTCCTAGTCAGTATAAATGGTTTTATACAAGACAATGTTCATGAAGGTTTCACTGTCCTCACACAGTGAATCTTGATCATCTGAACACAACTTTTAAATCATGTCAACAGCTCAGCTATTCTAACTTGTAGGCCTTATAAGATAATTTTCCCAGGATCTGTTTGCCAACCTGCCACCCAGAAGATATTTTCTAAGCCTGCTAGTCATCTAAATTCATTCTTATGTATTTGGGGACTAGCCTATTATCTCAGAGATAATATCAAGCCCAGAATTGCAAATCACCAAGCCCTAGGGTTAGTTTCAGAATCTATGAATGTCTCAAAAACTGAGAATAAATTTGCCATAAGCAGTCGGGAGACTGGGTTAATTCAGGACATATTTATTCCTGAATGTGCCTACACTTCATTTGCAGAATTATAGACATATAGAGAAATTAGTTTCTGGCTTAGCTAGTGCCATGTACATGGGTCTCTACACATAGCAAAAATACAAGAATTTGGCAGTGCTCCTGCTTTCTTGTAGATACAATTCTAACAAGAAGAATGAAAAAAAAAGAAAGTCATGTTTGGATTAGTAGTACTTTCAATTGAGCCCAGTATCTGAAGTGTTGACAAAAGCACTGTTGGGCTGCTTCCCAACCAAACATATCTGATGGAGTGAAGAGAAAGTAATAATGGGGAAAGTAGAAAGAGTCACTAAAAGGCAACAGGAATTCTAAGTTCAGAGAGGTCCTTAGCCAAGCAGCCGAGCCAAATGCCCCTGTGCAGAGAGTATATGTGGGTAAGTATGAACGCACTTTTCTGCCCAGAGGTGCAGGTTCACTGGCAAATCCCGTACCCCTTCTGCCTTTGAAATTCCATCTGGGCAAAGCCACTTACCTTCTGGAAACACTACTCTCATTTTGAGATAGCTGGTCGTGAGTCTGATTATGGATGCTTTGTCCAGTTGTGAGGTGATAGCCGAAGGCAAAGGCAGTAATTTAGCCAGTTCATAAAATTCACTGTTTTCCTTCTCCCTCCTAGTCCGGGCAGCATTTTTGGACTTCTCTTTCATTGTGTCTCGTTCCCCCTTTCCTCTTACAATATAAACTCCACAGATTCATCCAAAATCAAAAATAAACTTTCAACTAGAGATCATATTTGGCAAAAATATAAAGCATACTTTGAACGAAGAGACTGAAGTCTTTACTTCTGTGTGTTGATGGTAGTAAGAGATCAACGAGGCAAACAGAAAATATTTTCTTTAAAATGTGAGGTGCTAATATAGGAAAGCTGCTGATCCACGGCGACCTGGGCAATCCTAGGAGTCTCTGGGTATCAAATGCCGGCGGGGCCCGGAAGAAGCCAGCCTTTTCTTCTATTCCGCGCTGCGAACCCGGGTCCTCGGAAAATCGACATAATGATCCCCGACGTTTGCTCTGCAGTCCGGGGGCTTTTGAGGCAGCTCCAAGCCTCTTTGGGAAGCCCAGTGACTCTTTCAGGCCACTGTAAAAGACAATAGCATCAGAGCATAAGAGATCTGCGGATCCACAATCGCTCACGCAATCGCCTGAATTCCGAAAAACCTCCGGAAAGGGCCTCAGCGCGCCCCAGCTTTCCTCGCCAGGCTCGATGGTTCGGTTTGTTTGTATTTTAGTAAATGGAGAAATCAGCAGCCAGACCGAGCCCCAAGCAAATAATGCTCTCATTCCCTCACCCTTGCCAGCCACATTCTGCAGGCCCCTGGGAAGTTGCCCAAACAACCAAACGCGTATTTCTGAAGGCCCTTAGGAGACCCTCAGCCGCAGGTTCCCGTGCCCGCGCGCCAAGTCAGGCGCAAGTCCCGGGAAAGCAGGTTTCGGCAAAGCAGAATTCCTCCACTGAACTGCGGGCGCCTTTCGGTCCCCCCATTTTGGCAGACCTGGAACTTGGCCACCACTCTAACTTGGGTCTCAAGTCTCAGGGATTCCTCAAAAAGTGGCACTTACGCATCAAGTCCCTGGGGGCTCCCGAGCGACCCAGCGCTCTCCTGCCCAGCAGGGGCGGCAGCACGCGGGGCAGGGCCGCGCCAGGTTAACAGGTGCCACATTCACGGCAGCCCCCCGCAGGCACGGGGCGGGGGTGGGGCGCGGGGCGGCGTCCCGGCCTCGCCCCCGCGCCGGCCCAGCCGCGGGCACTATGGGGTGGGCGCAGGTTGTCTTCCGCTTCACCTACCTTCGGTCCCCGCAGGCGGCACAGGGTGCGGAGGTGCCCACCTCTTAATTGCACTCATGCCCACTGTCCAACTAAGCAACTCGGCCGGCCCGCGGCTCCCCACCGGCAGAGAGGCGCCCCGCGCGCTCGGGCTGCGTTTTCTGCTCTCGGTCATGGATTGGGGGAGGGGTGCGTGGGAGAAGGGGGATGCAGGCTTTGGGACGGGTGAGGTGGCTTTAGAATCCGCCTCCTCCTCCCCGGTAGTAGCTGCGAAGCCAGTATTATTCCTAATTGGAAGCCGAAAACGCCCCCCTGGAACTTCTTTATAGCTTACGGGGGTTTAGCTTCAACTTCGCTCCCGGGTTCCCTTGCTCCCGCCCCCTCTTAATGCCACTCACCGGCCCCTTTGCCTCCGGTTGGCCCGGCGCGCCCGGGGCGCGCCGCTCATTGGCTGACAGGGCTGAGTGACGCGAACACGCCCCGCCCCGCCTCCCGCGCGCCCCGGCTCGCTGCTCGCGGCTCTGTCCCCGCGTGGCTGCCGCGCGCCTCGCCAGCCGGTGCGCTGGGGTCCCCCCGCCGGGCGGCAGCCGCTGCTCCCGGCCTCCGGGGCCTTGTCGGCGAAGGGCAGGACCGGAGCTCCCCAGCGCCCCCGAGACCTCGGGCTCCCGAAGGCGGCGGGCTGCAGCCCCGAACCCCGCAGGTCGCGCCGGCGGGAGGGGGCTCGGGCAGGCGAGGCCGGAGTCTCCAGACTGGGGGCAGGATTCGCCCCCAGATCCACCGGGCCGCCGCCCCCTCCCGTGGGCGAGTCTCGGGTCCACGACCTGTGCAGGCCGATGTTGGGTTTTATTTTCTCTTTCTCGTTTCTCTGAAACCACAGCGCACCGAGTCATCGCCAGAGGAGATGCACGTACCTGCCTTTAAGCCCAAAGAGGAGCGTCTTTTTCGAAACGGGTCGAATTGGGGGTAGATTTGTGGACAGCACAGTCGTGTGGAGTTTTTCTATGGGGGGCAGCTGGGGGACCTAGGGGAAAAGAGATTACATTTCAGACCAACATTAAGTTCGCTGGGAGGGTTGATTATACATAGTGAGCGCACAACAATCTGTATCTTAAACGTGAGTGATGAGTTTTTGTTGGTTTTGTCTCAGGACACAAAAGTCCAGCATAAAAGTCCTTCGGAAAAAAATAACAGTCTGCATGAATGAATGTACAGCATTCACAATTCCCCCACAGGTGTCGTTTAAAAAAACTTTGTAAATATTATTGCTGACAAATTATGTTAGAGACCCTCTAATTTGAATCGCCTTCTCTCTTATCTTGAGAAGGGACTACAGCTAGCAGGGAGGAAATGTTGGCTTGTCCCCTCCTCCCCAAGACAATTATTGCTAATCACTCCCTTGGTTTAGGTGCTGCTGGTGACAACGATTCTACTCCTGGAGATGCGCTTGGAGGCAGTTGTCTCATCGGCCATAAAAGACAGTGAGAGCACCACTAATGTTGCACTGCTCCTCTTGTTTGTGGCACTAATTGCCGCTGAGAAAACATATACACTGAAGAGGGGTGTGTGCCATGCTGCTGGTGTTCGGGACAACTTTAAGAGTGTTTGTTCAAAAATACAGACATCTGCCACCTCCTTGCCGCCCGATGGCAGTAAGCTGGCAGAAGGACAACCATAGCTTTCTGGGGGTATTTATACATCTGGGAAACACCTGGCCAGAGGAGGTGAAAGGTCTGGATAGAAAGAAATAAAAAAAGAGAGAGAGAAAGAATGAAACATGGAGATTTTGTAGGTGTATCAAAACTGGGGTTCGGCTAATGGTCTCTAATGTAGAAGAAGGAGTATTTCCCCAGAGGCCAAAGTCACTTAAAGACTTGGATGGGCAGGTCCCCAAATCTCAAGTGATGCACTTTAACAAGCAAATGGTAGGAAGACAGAGAAAGATGTTGTGGCTCCCATATACACAAGATTCCAGGGGGGAAAAAAAAAAGACGTCAAGTTAACTACTACATGTACAGAGATGGATGCAAGAATATCTATCCTTTTTCTTCTTCCTCTCCCTCCACCTCCAACCAGGATATATTTTCGGGGTAAAATAAAACCGTTCCGTTGAAGCCATGACACTTTAGGGTAGGAAGCAATTTTCTATTGCAATTGTGTTCTAGAGAGGAGTTCAGTTGAGTCTGCGGTTCCTCTAAATCCTATCTCCACTTCAAACATGCAGGCGTGTTGGTACTTTTCTGGGGTCTGAAATCCATTGCCCACACCAGAGGTTTTGGGAGGTCAGGCAGAACAGGGTTCCCTACGTTGGGCGCGTTTCTTGCAGAGGAAGTGCAGTATTTTGCCTTCCGAAGCAAGACGGGCAAAATGTGCTTGGAAGTCTTCATAGCAAAGATGTTGTCCTGGGGGTCCAGCCGGGCTGCTCTAGCGTCCCACTGTAGCTCGGTTGTCGGTGAACGGAGTGACTGTTTAATAAACAAAGTGAATGCATGGCCATGTGGTGACGGCTCGCTAAATCCTCCGCACACAACTGTCTGAGCCGCGTTTACTGAGAGAGTGAATTAGCATGGCTACGTAACACCTGTTTTTCTAATCTTTGAACCTAGGCAGGAGCTGGAATGCGTCTCTTTACTCCCCCGCCCAGGCGCAGAGACCCGGCCTTGCACCCTCCGGCGACCCCGCCCGCCGGCCCCCACACGCGCCCAGCCAGCCTGTGCGTGAACTGACTCCTCAGGTGCCTCCCATGTGTTCTGAGAATTTGTGTTCGCACTAGCACGATAAATTTTAAATAAATTTCCTAAGGCTAAGAGGCTCATTCTATCCAACTCTTTCCCAACGTGAGGGGGAAGTTCTAGAACGGAAAGAGACAGGTACACAAGAATCCCCACCAACATACACGAATGCAAACTGAGTCTAGGCCGCCGCCTGCTTGCGCAGGTGCCTTAAAATGTACTCCTCTGAACTCGGGTTCTGTTTGCTGGGTCCCAGAACTAGAAGCTAAAGCTGGAAGAAAGTGAAGCCGATCTATAAACAAACATCATCCCTTTCTTCATCCAGGAGAAGAAACAGCCTAGCGTGACCACGACATTGTGCTCCTGGGAACTTCTCCCACCGGGGGGTTGGTGGGGGGGGGGGCAATGCTGCCCGCAGGGAGCCCACGTTCAACCCGTGTGAAAGCTAAATGGTGCACTGGCCCAGGCTGTGAGCCCCAGCGGAAAGGCGTGTCCGCGGTGGTGAATTGCAGACCCCACGCGCCTGTGCGTGCGGAGTCCCGTGCGCTGCGCGCGCCCTGAGCTAAGAGCAGAGGGCCTGGAAAGGACTGCCTGACCCTTTCCAACATCATCCAAAGCCTGGACTACAGAAGCGGAACCTGTGGGCTGTAAAAGAACTAGTACGGAATTCCGGCACAAATCGCTAAACCGACTTTCTGCGCAGCGGCCCGACCCCGGCGCGTTGTGGGTGGGACCCCTGGTTGGGCACAGACCTCGATCTTGCATTTGACAACTCTTCTCTGCTCCCTGCTGCTTGAGTATCCTATCTAAACTAGACCGGGTTGTCCTTCCCCTCTTTCGCCCCCTTAATGCACTTTTTCTTTGGGGGCGGGGTTGTTTTTACAGACTGCTAGGGACGCGCAATGCATTTTTACACGTTTGTACATCACATACACACAATTGTTCAAAGCACTCAGGAACATATTTTACTCAGTGGCCAAGGTCAAGATGAAGACTGTATTTATAATCAAGATGCAACAATTTGAAGACGGTCACTTAAGCATCTCAGTGTGTCATATCCAGATGTTCATTACCCACCACTGCAAACTAGAATTTATCTAGGGACATTCAAACATTTTTTTTTCTTCCATTTATGGAAGTGAATCCTGCCCTAGTCCCATTTTATTACCGCCACAGGCACTGTGATGTTGAGGCAGAAAAAGGGGCCTCTTACAACTTTGACCTGGTGGGGAGAGTGCTAGAAAACAAAGAACAGGTGAATCTCAAAAAATAGATCTATATGCAATACTTTTTAAATTATAAATTATAAATTAACTACTTAAACTATTTAAATATTACTTGTTTGATCAGGACATTTGAAAAGTATAAAGTATTATAAGGTATTTTATGCAAACAAGACCAAAAACAAACAAAACCCTTCTGATGTGAAGTATTGCTTCTCAGTCGCATGCCTGAGTTGACCACTGAAATGTAAAATAATAATAATAATAATAGCTTTAGTAGTTACTTGGGTGGGGTGGGGGGAGAGAAAGTACACCAACTTGGAAAATGAGTGATGAATGCAAGTAAGGATTTTATATAATTTTTCTAAATATATTATTTTCCAGTCAGATTTTGAAACCATCGTCTAAAAAGCCACTTTGAATTGGTGGCTGAGAAACAAATACTTAAACTGTGCATCACTTAAAAAAAACTCTATTATTCCAGCATTAACAGCAGCTGGAAAACTGATGCTGCACATCCTGCGGACCGGAGAAGGGTGGGTGCCTGCAGCTCCGGTCGCCAGCACTTTCCACACTTTTCCTTTCCAGAAATAGAGTTTGGGCGGTGTGGGAATATAGGTCAGCAAACCTGGGCACAAGAGTACATCTAAGGGGCCTCTCCGGTGACGCAGCGGTTGAGCGCTGGGTTGCGAAGCTGCCCGCAGCCGCCTCTAAAGCTGAGGTTCGATCCCCGGCTGCTCCCCGGCCACTGGAGGAGGGTCCCACATGGCGCACAGACCTCTCCTGCCGCCCGCTGCTCCCCTCAGCAGTGTACTTCGGTCCATCTGCCTGCTCTGCTCCCCGCTCTGGCTCTGGTGAATTCTCTCACCCTCCCGCGCTTCTGACTGTACCCAGTGCTTGTATAAATGAATAAATAAATAAATAGATCTAAAAAAAAAAAAGAGAGATTGAAAATAGTCTTATTAAAAAAAGAGTAATATCAGGTGTTCAAAAGCTGAGGATGATCATTGGTGTGAGACTTCACGTTAAAAGACACTGAATTCTGAATCTGTTTCGTAATTTCAGGTCAAACCACTCTCTTGGGGTCTTCAGGAGCGCGCACTAAGGC